ATCTGACACAGACCCATCTGCTGGTGCAGGAAATGTTAGAACGGGGTGGTGACAACCCTCTTATTTATACTCACGTACACGATGGGTATTAAAGACAAATCTTTCAGCTCCAGTAAATTTACTTCCTTAAAAATTCCCTTTGCAGTGTGTTGCTTTCCAACTGTTTTTTCTCTCCCTTTAGATTTTTGTTACCTATTTGTTGTTGGTTTTGTTGTTATTTTTAAATGAACTTTCCAATGTCATTATTTCCTCGGGGCTGGAGTGAAATGAGAAGGTACCTGAAAAGCTTTCGGGTGCCAACCCAATCATTGAATCCGGCCTTGCTGCCTGAAAATTTCAAAGCTTTAAAGCCTTGAAAAGGGATTCAAGTGGAAGTGGTGACACGTAGCAGCATAAATAATTATCTTTGGGCCCTTTCACCTCTGAATTCTTTTTTTACGGCGTGCAGAACACGGCCTGAAGAGGTTAATAAACGCGCTGCCGCCAAGTGCTTACAAAATTAATGCAGCTGCCATGGATCCGGGGGGCTCCGTGGGAGTGGGTGTTGGGGGCCTTCCAGCTCTCCCAGAAAACGAAAGAATGAACTCGGTGGTGTCGTGCAGGTGCTGGGCATTTTTATTCCAGCCTTAGCCGTGCACAGCGGAGCGCCCAGCGCGGCGTCTCGTGCGGCTCTCCCAGACCCCCGCACTGCCCTCCTGCACAGGGATTGCTGCTGGTCTGCAGGGTTTGCTCAAGGGATAGAGCCAACTTGTTTCCTTTTTTAATTGCTGGGGATCAAGGCTGCAGACAAACCTGCGAGGTTCCCTCCCTGTGCAGGCTGCGGGGAAGCCTCCTGGCAGGTTCGGTCGCCGGCTCCGCGGTTTCCGTGGATATCTCGGCTGCCGTAGGCCGGGTAAGGATGGATTTCTCTTTTAAAGAGAGGAAAGGCAGCCCCTCTTCCCCTCCCCACCAAAAACACCCCAAGTGAGGGGCAAACAAAGCCTGTCACTGGTGTTGGTGCACCATATTTAATTTACTTTCTGGTCTCTGCAATGTGTCAGGTTTGGAAATGATGTAAAATGCTTCCCAGGGATTATATGAAATTTTCCAAAGGAGTTTTTCACTTGATATTTGATATCTCAAATGCTTAAATTTAAGTGCAAAAATACATCTCATTTGGATTGATTTCCAGAGTGGGATTTAGGTCTCTTTGGCCTATTATTGAAGTGTGAATGAGTCTGGAAAACGCTGCTTCTGTAAAAAATACAGTTTTCTTTTTTTTTTTTTTACCTTAAAATACTTCTGTGCACGTAAGTATTTTAAGGGGAAAAAATGAAACTGTATTTGTCTGCCCTGAGTGTGAGAAACCCCACTTGCTGATCTGTGCCTGGAGCTCTCAAGCAGAGCCCACCCCGAGGTGTCAGGGCTGGGAAGTCCCTTGGCCTCGGTACAGCTTTGGGTGTGTTTGTTTCCCGGTGCGAAGCCGTGGCCGGTGCTGTGCAGCCCCTGCTGAGCCCTCCAGGGGTGCAGCCCCTGCCTGTGTTCTGGGGAGAGCTGCTGGGTGTCCAGCCCTGTCCGTGCCGGGGGGGGGAAGGTTTGGTGCCTCTCCGTGCAGGGGATGTGGAGGGTGCATTGTTCCAGTTCCGAGTGGCGCCTCGAGCTCTCCCAACTTGTTTGCTTGTGGTGTTAATCCAAAAAATAAATGCTTGCTTTTGTTTGTTTGTTTGCAGGCGTACGGCCCCGGGAGGCCCTACCCGCTCCCTCCTCCCGCAGGAAGGTACAGCTGGAATTAGCTCCTGCCTTCTTCTGTTTTGTTTTTTTCTTCTTATGAAATATGGGAAACGTCCGGATCTCCTTGCTTTTTGTTCTTTCTATTATTTGTGGGGGGAGGGAAAAAAAGAAGAAATCGATGAAACTGTTAAGCACCATCCCTGTAGTTTTTAAACTCTTGATACTTGGTTTTAAATGTGCGCATTTCTGATGGACCCGACGCTGATGGTTTTTTGGGAGGGGGCCGTGTGGCCGGGGAACGAGCGGGTCGCGGAGCAGCCTGGCTGCTTTGCCGCTGGAGGAGGTGGGGGAGCCGCGTTGTCTTCCTTACGGATCCGAGCCATCCGTGCCGAGCAGCGCCTGCCACTCCAGCTCCAAACATCCCCTACTCCACACACAAGAGCCCGAAAACAGACACGGAGTTTTAAAGAATGCCTGGAAATGGGATTTGATGAACTCCCCGGGGCGCAGCCGGCGGCGCTGGAACACACGGGCCTTGTCCTCGTCGGATGTTCCTTCGGTGTCTCGCACAGGGCAGATTTTTTGGGGGACTTTGAAGTAAAACATTTCAACCTCTACAACGCGTGCCTGTTTCTGGCTTGGTTACTGGGGCACGACCAAGCAGGGGAGGTGGATCTGTCTGTCTGATACCTAATTTAAAAGAGCTGCGAAGGGCAGAGATTCCGTTCATTTTTAGCACTCTTTCTAGGGATTTTCTGTGTGAGTGTACCAAATCGGTAAATATTTTTATTTGCTTTATAAAGTGGCTTTTGAAATTCTGAGCAGCAGCGTGTGGTTAATTTTCAACCTCCTCCAGGCCCTGTCTGTATCTTCTACTCGCGTGCCCGCGTTTGTGTTGAATTCTTGGAAAATAATTCCACCCGGCCTCTACCTTAGCGTTTAAAATCTTTGCTTAAGCCACCAAAAAAATAAAATAAAAAATGAGGAGAGCATCCAGTTCAGCTTTCCCTTTGGACTTTTCCCTTAAATACATGTATTGTGTCCTGCTCTCAGCCCGATGCTGCCACAGTGCTCGGTGCTCCTTCCTTTCAGGGCCCAGGTGTTAATCACCAGCAACCAGGGAAAAGCCCAGACAGACCCGGGTAACCTTGGGAGGAAGAAATCATCAAACTGGATTCATTATTTTCAAGTGATTGAGGGTGGAGCAGAATCCTTCATTGTAATGCAGCATTCCGGGAGCCGGGAACGCCGTCAGCCCTCCCCACGGCGTTCTCCCTCGGATGGGAGAAGCTTTGGGGCTCAACAAAATCGCTTTGCTTTTCGAGCAGGACAAAACCAGCAGTGAGGGTGAGTTTTCATGGGAGTGGGGTGGAGGAAGGAGCGGGGTGGGTCGGCCACATGCCCAAGGCGGGATGAGCTCGGGGTGCCCTCCTGGACCCTCGGAGCGATGCCTGGAGCAATGTGCTCGCCCAGGGGCTTCGGTCCCTGGGCTGCATGGCCTGGGGTGTGATGCAGGGCCTGACCTTGGAGCATCCCCCCTCCTCAGGCTCTGCTTTGGCTGTCTCTGTACCCCAGCTGCTGGTGAGCTTGGGGGTCACCCTGGGACAGCATCCCCGTGGAGCTCCAGAAGCTGCTCTATCTAAAGATACAATTTTTATTTTTTTTTTCCCCAAGCTGGAACTGAGCCTGGCATGTCCCCTTGGATTTAACAGAGTTAGAGGGGGAAATAACTCACCCCTCTGGGCTCACACCCACCCCAGATGCTCCAGGCTGTCCCCCGTGGGAGCCAGTGGGGAGAAACACTGCCCTGTGGAAAGGGAGGGAGCCTCAGTGGTCCTCATGTGGCATCTGCCATGAGGGGAAGGGGTGTCCCTACTGTTCCCCACCCGGGAACCACTCCCGGATCCCCAATGGCCTTGGGAAGGGGTTCGGGAACCGGTCCGTGGTCTGGCAGAGGCTGAAATCCGTGTTTTCCAGCCCAGAATCGTTCCCTCACGGCACAGCCGGGAGCGGCGCGGGCCCGGCACTGCCCGGGGCTGGGGAACCCCTGCCCGGGCCGGGGTCCAGCGGGTCCCCGAGGATGGGGGAGCGGGGCAGGGGAGGGGGCTCAGAATTAAATCCTTGTCGTCTGAGAGGGAGGAAGGAAGGAAGAAGGGGCTTTTGGTGCTGTCCATCAGTCCATACACTGAGAACGAAGCAGCCGACTCGTGAGAACAAGGCTTCCGTTTATTGTTAAAAATAAAATAAAAATAAAATTAAAAATAAAAGAAAGAAAAAAACTGCCGGAAACTCCCGAGAAGTGTTTCCCGATGCGCGGGATTTCCCGGGAAGAGGCGCGGGGATAAACCCCGCTGGTGCCGTGGCGCATCCTCCGGCCCGGCGGCCCCGGCGCTGCGGGGCCCGATCCCCGCCCTCCATCCCGGCGGGAAGCGGGGTCCAGCCCCGGGAATCCCCGGGCTCTCCGTCATCTCCGCAGGTCTCTGAGCTTGCCGGGAGTGGAGCGAAGGGCCGGGGGTTGTGGTGGTTCCACGGGACGCGCGGCCCGTCCAAGCGCGGTCATTCATTTACTGAGCGATATTTAATAACAACAACGAGAACAACGTTTTTCCCCCTTAAATCTGAGCACCGGCGCTCCAGGGCTCTTCTGCCACGGCTCCCGCCGCCGCCGCCGCCTCTCGAGTCGCGACTCAATTTACCTCCGATCGGGACAAGAGTGGAATCGCACTTCGGGGCACCCCCGTGAAATTAATTCTGCCGAGATAAGTTGCACTTCAGAAGGTTTATTGTGGCGCTCAGCGGGGCTGTGACGGGACACGCCGGGGCTCCGGGTGCCCCGGGGCTGCCGCAGGAGAGCGGGGCCGTCCCGGGAGCGGAGCCCCGCGGTCCCCCGGCTCCCCCCGCCCCGTCGGGGGCTCTCCCGGGCGGGATGCGGCGGTACGGACGGGACACGGATCCACGAACACGCGTGCACACAGACCCTCCAGGCATACACGTGTACACACACCCCTCGCACACTCACACATTCACACACACACAGGCGGGCAGCGCCGCGCTCACGCCCGCAGCCCACGCGTGGACGCGCACTCGGCCCCGCCGCGGAGCTGCCGTCGGGGCCGTTTATCCAAAAAACCGGAGAGGCTTTAAAAAAAACAGAAGGAAGGACGAGAAGGGGCCGGAGGAAGGGGAGCGCGGGGGCCCACGGGCGTCCGTCGGGGTCCCCGCAGGCGCTGGGCCGGAGGGTCCGGTCTCGGAGGGCCGGGGGTCGCGGGGGGACACACGGGACACACCGATTACCACGTCCTGCCGTAGAGCAGGTTGGGGCTGACCATGCCGCCGTTGTAGTCGACGCCGGCCGAGTCCAGGGGGGCGAGGGCGGGCACGGGGCCGTGCAGCGCCGGCGGGCTGGGCGACAGCTCCTCCAGGTCGGCCGCCTGCCCCAGCGAGCCGGGGTGCGGGTGCGCGGCGGGGGCGGCGGCGGGGGGCGCGGGGGCGGCCTGCCCGGGGCCCGGGGTGCCGCTGCCCGGCGGCGGGCAGGGTTTGCCGTCCTTCACCAGCACCGGCACGGCCACGCGGCGCGGCGAGGGCTGCTGGCAGAGGCCGCCGCCGTCGGGGTGCAACTGCTGGGCGGCCGCCTTGTCCTTGGCCTGGCGCTTCATCTTGTAGCGGTGGTTCTGGAACCAGATCTTCACCTGGGTCGGGGTGAGGTGGATCAGGCTGGCCAGGTGCTCCCGCTCCGGTGCCGACAGGTACTTCTGCTGCTTGAAGCGCCGCTCCAGCTCGTAGACCTGCGCCTGGGAGAAGAGCACCCTCCTCTTCCTCCGCGGGGCCGCGTGGAGCGGCACGATGGCCTTGGCGCCCTCGGCGATGCCGCTCAGGCCGCCCATCCCGGCCACGTTCATCCCGGCCGACGGGCCCATGAACCTGGAGACTGAGCGGGAGAGGCTGCTCAGTGCCGGCAGCCGCCCGTCAGGGCCGCCGCTTCCCCCGCCCGCCCCCGCGCCCCCCGCACCGCCCCGCGCCCGCACTTACTGCTGGAGTAGCGGGGTCTCCGCCGGCCCCGTACCAGCCGCCGCCCTGCCGCCGCGCCGCCCTGCATGCCCTCGGGGTAGGCGGGCAGCTCGCCCACGTTGCCCAGCCCGCCGTTGCAGTAGCCCCCGACGGCGCCGTGCGGGAACTGCGAGACGCCGTGGGGCATGTGGTAGGCGGCCGCCCCCGCGGGGACGTGCTGCGGACGGCGGCGGCCGCGGGGGCACGGGCGCCTGGCGGTAGGGCCCGAGGGGCGCGCCCAGCCCGCCCGCCCCGTCCATGCCGCCGAACTTCTTGTAGCTCTCCTCCATCGGGCTCAGGATGTCGGTGACCGAGAAGGGCGTCGTGTGCTTGGGGCTCAGCGACATGGCGCGGCGGGGCGGGACGCGACGGGGCGGGCCTGGCCGGGCCGGGCGCTGCCGCCGGCACCGGCGAGCCGTCAGCGGCGGCCACCAGCCCCGGGCGCCGGTAGCTCGCCGGTTCTTTTAGCCCGGAGCCGGGTTTACGCCAGACGCGGGGGCGGAGCGGCGGCGGCGGCCCCGGCCCTCCCTGCCTCCCGCCGCCCCCGGCCCCGGCCCCCTCCTCCCGGCCATTGTCCTGCGCCCGCCCGACGGCTCTTAAGCCCGGCCGCCCCGGGGCAGCGCCGGAGCGGCTCCGAGCGGCCCCACCGCCCTCGCCCGTAAGTACCTGCCCGTTCCCCCGGCCCCTCGTCCCGACCCCGGCCCGCGGTGCGCGGCGACCCCCGGGCAAGCCGTCCCTGGGCAGCGCGACGACTGCGAACCCGGCCCCGACGGTGGGAGCCGGGACACCCTTTCCCCTCTTCCCGGGGGTGCGCGGCTCCCGCCCGGCCCCAGCCCCTCGGAAGCGCTGCCGCGGGGTGCGGAGCAGGCGGGGACCCCCCGCAGCCCCGGAGCCCCTTTAGGGCTGATGCTTCGTTTGTCGTTGTATTTTGGGGTTTTTCTCGGTCGTTGTTCGTTCGTTCGTTGGTTTTGCGACAACGAAACCCTCCCCCGGGTCAGCCTGAGCCCGCGGGCAGGGGCCGGGCCGGGTGCGGGACGCATCCCTCCCGCCCCGGGGGGCGGCTGCGGGGGCTCCCTCGGCGGGACCCCGCTCCCGTCGGGGGCAGCGGCTGCGGGGGCTCCTGCCCGTTCCTGCCGCTCCCGGCGGGCAGGGGAGGCTGAAGGGGGGGTCTCTGACGGGCTGAGAGGACGCGGCACAACCCTGCGGCCAAACCTGCTCGGCCCCCCGGGCCGGGCACTGCCGCGACGGGGCGGCCGGATCCCCACTCGTCCGTGCGCGGATAGATGAGCTGTGTGCGCGCACCCACCGCGCCCGGCCCGGGCAGGGGGACCGCGGGGCTGCGCTTGATCGGCAGGCAGATCAAACCTCGTGTCGTGAGAGCAGCAGCACCTGCTCCTCCCTCCCGGGCGGGCACCCGCTCCCGGGTTGATCCTGGGGTTTGCTCCCTCCGGCCATCTCCCTTGTCCCCAAGGTCCCCTCCGGACTGACCCTTCCCTTCCCCTCTCAAATCCGATCCTTTCCCTGATCCCTTTGGAGGCAAAGCACCTGCAGATCTTGGGAGATTATGAAAAATCAAAGACAGCAGATCAGAGCAAGGACAGTTCTGCTTCTTGAAGTTTGTTCTTCCCCCTCAGATCCCGATGAGGGGCAGGAGTTAAACAAGTCCCCATTCTCCATGTACTGATGTCTAAATCCGCTGCTCCCATCAGTTTTATTTAGCTGCAATTTTCCCACAGTTGGGGCAGAATTCCTGGCACCTGCATCCTTTTCCCCTGTGCCTGTTTTCCTGTTCCCTGCTTTAAGAAAAAAAAAAAAAAAATTGAAATTGTTACCCCTCGACATTGCTGTGGGAGCAGCACAGGGGCTGCTGCCCCCCCTGCCCCAGAGGTGACCCACTGATGGGACCCCTGCCCCTCAGGGCACTCCCGGGGAGGAGACACAGCTCTGGCTGCTGTCCCTGGGGTTGGGGACCACAGCAGAGCCCCCAGTGCCCACCAACCTGGGCACTTCTGTCAGCAGCTGCTCTCTGAGCTCAGCTTTTACTTCCCCAGAGTCTTCCTCAGAAGGCTGACAGTAGTACTCATATTTTTTTTCAATTTTTTCCTGGAGTTTTCCATCCCTTTTAGAGCAGGTCCCTTCCTTTCTGGGGCTCCCACTCCAGGAAGGAGCTGATGAAATCTCCACCCTCCCCGGACATAGCGGTGCCCTTTGTTGTCAGGGCGGGTGGCATCTCCCCCCAGATTGGGGAGCAGGCCTGAGCCCCCCTGGCCTGGCAGGAGGAGAGGGGGGACCCCACCCAGCCCTGCAAGGGAGAGAGCCCTGGGGTCAACCTGGCAAAGCAGGGGCCCTGAAGCACCCCCAGCCCTGTGCAGTGAGACCCCCGGGAGGTGGGTGGGTGGGTGGATGGATGGATGGATGGATGGATGGATGGATGGATGGATGAAGAAGCTGAAGAAGCAGAGTGTGGTGTCCCTGCTCCTCTCTCGGGGGTGGGGGAGAGGCTGCTCCTGGTGATGTAGGGATGATTCCCTGCAAGCCACTGGGGCAGGGAGGAACTTTGGGATCTCACCATGGCCTCCCTGCTGCTTTGGTGACAAACTAGACAGAAATAAGGTAAAAGGCTGAGTGGGATTGGCCCTGTTTACGTCAGACCGGCCCCCTAAACTGGGATTTTGGGATCTGCACAGGAGAGGTGGCTCGTGAGGGCACAGTGGGCACAGTGCCAGCACCTGCAGCCTCTGCTTTTGGAACTGGGGACCTTGTGCCCAGGGAGTGCAATACAATGAGCCTGCCCTGGGACAGCTGCCCAGGAAGGGGGGGAGCGAAGGGAAAAGGATCTTCACACGACAGCCAAACTCCTGTCAGTGGAGCTGGGATGAGGAGCAATGCAGCGACAGGACTGCAGCAGGTCCCTTGGGCACTGAGCCCCCAGGGCACCCCTCACCCCCATCCCGGGGGCAGAGGCCACTCATCCCCTCACAGGGCCCAAGGGGAAGCACAGCCCGGGGGGAGCCGGTGGAAATGCAGCCAACAAAATCCCTCACGGCTCTTTTGCGCTAGAAACACCCCAGAATTTTATACCACATCAGGAATGGGGTGTTCTGGATAAAAACTGCAGCAGTGCAGTGAAGGCTTTCACCACTTCCCAAACTTCCCTGGGAGGGAGCCTTCTGGCAGGGTCAGGACTGAACACTTGGTCTCCACTGAAGTGAAGGACTGAGCTGGTTTTTCCTTTTGCTGTTTGGCTGTGGCAGAGACCCAAGGAACTCCTTTGTTCCAGTTCAACTTCAGGGACTGCGTTTTCTGAGGGAGGGAAAGATGTTTCATTTCCTTAAGAGCGTGTGTAAAGAAAACCCCACCGATGAGCCAAATGTCCCACAGGAGAACCCCAACCTTAAAATCCTCCTCAGTTACAGAATGCACGTTCCTTTGACCTAATTGACCATTACCTGGAGGTGCCACACAAAACTGGACCATATCCTTCCCTATCCTGGGAGGATCAAACTGCGGATTCCAAGCTAAGTGGTTTAAAAGCAGATTTAAAAGAAAAAATAATAACAATAATAAAAAAAGGTAGGAAATGCAAGGAGACTGTCAGCAACAGGGAGGCAACCCCCAAGAAGCCACACCAGTTGGGTTTTAATTTTTGTGAGTGATTTTCCCTGATTACCCCCGTTGGGCAGAAGGCCGCCCGGATTCCAGGCTGCCGAGTGCAGATGTCATTTCCGAGCCTGGCTTGTCTCTCTGATAATAATGACATATTTGGGCTCATTTCCACACGCAACTTGTCCCTGCTATTTGAGCCCCGTGCCTGTGGCAGCGAAGGTATTGACCCTGGCGAGGCACAATTGACACGGAGATGGAGGCTGATTTTTGGTGGGGCGTTCTTCAGTGATCCAGTATAAATGCTAATTTTATTTCCGCGGCAGCTCCACCAAAAGCGATGGTTTCTCCTAAATAATCAGCGCCAGCCTCTCCTGGTGCTGCGATCGCCGCTCAGGGCAGTTTGCCTCGATTCAGCTCTCACCGATAATTTGCAGAGATTAAAAGGGTCTTGGAAACGGAGGCTTAAGGAATTGCTTTCTGAAGACGTTGCGAGATTGAAAAAGGAACCCGGGGTTTCCAGCCCACTCCAAAACCGTTTCCACGTAAACCCCGGAATTAGGAGTTTGGAGTGTCACTAAATGGGCTGCTCACAGGGAAGGGACGATGCTGCCGTGGCACGGGGACGGCTCCTGCCTCCTGCAGGGCTACCTCTCCCTTTCCAGGGAAATCAAGCACTTCCCAAGCAGCCGTGCACAGGTATTGTTGCTCCCGGGGTCGGTGCTTGCAGCAGGAATGCCCGGCAGGAATGCCCGGCAGGAATGCCCGGCGGTGCCACCACAGGGCATTGCCACATCAGGAGACCTTGTTGCAGGTTTGGAGGGGTCACTTACACGAAGGTCAGGTTTAGGGGGATGTTGTTCTCCCTGCACCCAACATCTGTCCAGCCCCAGGGTTCCCTCCCCCGTGCCCCTCTTTATGCCTCGACAGTTATTAGCAGGCAGGGTGCCCCCTTGTCCTGTGGGTTTCCTCACGCTACTTTTTGGGATAAAACCCTCACAATAAACATCCTGGTATATCTTGTTTGCCAAATGGCCTTTTATTCCTTGGGACTCTTTCCCTGAAGAGTCCTCTGGCCCTTTTGCCAGCACCCTCAGCAGGCAGGACGCAAGTGCTTTGTGTTAGGCTGAAATCACCCCTCAATCCCCTGATTATCCATCCCACCGCCTTGCAGAGCAAGGACGCGTTCCTCTGGCTGGCTGTGCCTGCCCCCTCCTCCTGGCAGCCTGGGGCAGTGCCTCCCCCAGCCCCGGCGTGGGTCTGGCTGTGCCTGGGAAGGGTCATCCCTCAAAGCTGGAGATCATGGATGCTCCGCCTGGGCTCGGGTGGCAGCTCCTGCAGCCGAGGGAGGACAAGCCAGCTTTGCTCCTGCCTGCAGAAGGGGATGGTTCCAGCTGCTGAGATCCCAGGTAAGTGTCTTGTGTCCTCAGATCCGGCTGGGAAAAGTTTCTGACAATGGAGAGGTGCGTGGATGGGAACGGGGCAGGCTGGTGTGGGCAGCACTGCCCCCACTGCTTCAGAGAAATGTCCCAGAGCTGCCTTTAGTTATTGATGGGACAGAAATCATTCCAGTGCTGCACGGGAGTCACTCCTAACCAACAGGGAGGCAGTTTCTGCAAGGGCATCGGGCACTTCAGGCTGGCACCTCGTGCTGCTGGACCATTCCAGTGTCCCCAGAGCATACGTGTGCTCGGCAGTCGGATCCCGACTACCCTTGGCCCTGCTGGTGCCCATCAGCAGCTCC